ATATTATACAGTTATATATTATACATTATAATGTAAAGGTGTATATTGTACAATATATTAATGTTATATATTCTATATTATATTATAATGTATATCATATATTTTATATTATACAGTATAATGTGTATTATATATTATACATTAATATTATATTGTATATTATATTATATATTATATATTATAATGTATCATATATTGTATTTTATACAATATAATGTATTCTATATTGTACATTAATATTACTGTATATTGTATACTATATTATATTATATATTATATTCTAATATATTATATATAATACATTATAATTTATCTTATATTATACATTAATATATTATATTGTATATTTACTGTAATGTATCATATATATTTTATATACTATACAATATAATGTAAAGGTTATATATTATATATTAATATTAGTTTGTATATTTACTGTAATGTATATCATATATTTTATATATTATACATTACATTGTATAAAGGTACATATTTAATATTAATATTATATTATATATTTACTATAATATATATATATTATGATGTATTTTATGTATTTTACATTAATTTGTTGTATTGTATATTTACTATAATACAATTAATAATACAATACAGTTATTGTATTGTATTACTATAATGTACATAGTATATATTATACATTATAATATATTTTTATTTTTTATATTATACTGTATAATATATATATATATACAATACACACTTGATACATTATATTATATATTGTATATTTTGTATATTATACTGCATAATATATTATAATATGTATATCAAGTATTGTATATTATACATTATAATATGTTGTATTTTGTATATTATACTGTATAATATACAATACTTGATACATTACAATATATATTGTTTATTTTGTATATTATACTGTATATTATATTATAATGTGTATATCAAGTATTGTACATTATACATTATAATGTATTGTATTTTGTATATTATACTGTATATTATATTGTATATCATTTCTTGTATATTATACATTATAATGTATTGTATATTGTATATTATACTGTATATTATATTATAATGTATTATTCCTTGTATATTATACATTATAATATATTGTATATTGTATATTATAATGTATATCATTCCTTGTATATTATACATGATAATGTATTGTATATTGTATATTATACATTAATTATAATGTATATATTCTTCATTATACATTATAATATATTTTATATTATATTCTGTAAGAGATAATTGACAAACGAAAACAAAACTTTAGAAAGAATGAAATGATAACTATGATTAAATTAGATCATAATTAATATGATGATAATAAATTAATCAAATTTATAAATGTAATATGATTAAATACTAATTATTTAATTAATAATATAATAATATTATTTCAGATAAGAAGGATGCAAGATATATTAGCACAAATGCAAGAAAAATTGAAAGCAACCGGACAAGTTGGCAATAACATCGGTTTGAGGGGTAGAGTTGGAAGTCTTGGTAACGACTTGGACGTTACTGATGTAGATAAGAAACGAAGCAGTATTATTGACGTTTAATACATAACAAGTTGATATAATTAATTATTCATCTTTTGATTTATAACAGTGTTAGGATAAAATGTTAACGTTTGAAACGAGAATCACTTTTTTATACGACTTATTATTATCATTATTATTATTATTATTATTATTATTATTATTATATTTATTATTTGTTTTACATAACTTATTTATAAATTGATGATATATCGTGCGCACAAAAAAAAAATTAATAAATAAATAAATAAAAAATATGAAATATATATAAATGTGTGTATGTGTTTATGTGTTCAACATGTGTTATATATATATAAAAAAAAAAAAGGATATTTGATTGGTCCAATAGAAATGATGGAGAATAGTTTTTTTTTTATATTTTAATAAATGATGATTTATTAATAAATTAATTATTAATATAAAATAATTTAATTAATAATAAGATAATTATATATTAATATAATTAATATAATATTAATTATATTATAATTTATATTATTATTATTATTATTATTATATAATATAGAATATTATATAATTTTTATTATTATATATTAAATATATTTTTTATATATAATAATAATAATAATAAAATATATAATATAGTATTATTTATATATTATATTATATTATTATGTAATATATTTAATTATATAATAAATAATAAATATTATAATAAATATTATGGTACTTACGTATTAACATAAGCAAACATTCCGCTAATGCGCCAATAAAGAGCAATCTTGTTGTTCGCATTCAACAACCTTGTTGTTTGCACACAGCAACCGTCAGGGTTTCGTCAGGGTTTCGTCAGGGTTTCGTCAGGGTTTCGTCAGGCATTTGGCGACAGCATCAGGTGAAAGAAAATAGAGACTGTTTTGAATCTATGTTAAATTCTATATCAGCCCATTTTCCATCGAAATCCTATTGACTACTTTTTATAAATAAAATCTTTCGAATGTTGAAAGTGTTTTGATTTTAAATAAATATTTTTATTCTATGATTTGTCGTAGCACTTTGCAAGGGAGTCGGGGCCATCCACGAGACTGCTACGGTCATAGGTTTTTCCCCACATGGGGCCCGGGCACAATGGTTCAGAAACTCAGCGCCCGGGTTAACAAACCTCAATTAAAAAAAAAAAAAAACAAAAATGATTTGTAGCAACGATTTAAAATGTAGATGGCGTTAATACGTAATTACCAATATTATATTAATTAAATATATTAATTATTATTATATTAATAATGAAAATAAATAATTGAAATAGTAATGATATATTTTATTAGGCAATAATTAACCAAAATCAAATATATGACACGTTTGATTTTTATTTGATATCCAATTTATTTTATGGAGTGGTAGAAGAGAAAGAAGAATTTATAAAAAAAATAAAATAAATAAAATATTAGTTTGCATTTTTATGCAAAATAAATATTAACGACAGTTATGATATTGTATCAATAAAATAATCTACAGATAAGAGGAAAGAATGTATTGTAATAAACATTATCAACAAATCTGGACTTTCCAATGGGATTTTCCAATAAATACACAGACGCATGTTACGCATGTTAAGAATATATATATATATATATATATATATATATATA